CCTATAATGGCGGGGCCAGAGGAGGACAGCATATAAGGGCGGGGCCAGAGGAGGACAGCATATAAGGGCGGGGCCAGAGGAGGACAGCACATAAGGGCGGGGCCAGAGGAGGACAGCTGAGCGAAAAGCACTGGGAAGATGAGGAAGGAGAAGCACACAGGAGAAGGGGGGACTGGCCGTGAGCATGTACCTCTGCAGATGGGTCGATCGTCACTCCAGCCCACGTAGCTGTCTGTCACTCGCAGGCAGGTGATGCTCTTGGAACCCTGCAGCTCATAACCTTCATCACAGGAGAAGTGCACCGTCGAACCCCTCCTGTAGAGGGAGACAGGCAGGATCACACACTTCTCATTCTCATTCAATGCAGTCTTTTTGTGGTGGCAATAAATGCAGCAGATTCACCCAGCCAGTGACAGGCATCGGTATGTGGCTGTGTAGGTGTGTCTATAATAGCTACACACACCCACACACACGCACCAATATGCACATAACTGTAGCGAAAGACATCTCAGCCTAAGAGTAAATTCCAACTTTAGCAGAAGAATGCATTTACAGCTAGCGAGGGGGCTTTGGTGCATGAAAATCAACAACAGGGCTGATTCTTAGAATTAATTGTATTAAACATTAATTAATACAGAGGGGCCAACCCTATTATTAGCCAATGATATGTTTTTGATTCATGAGTGACAGGGAAGGAGGCACTCTGGGGCCAATCAGCTTTGAGGTAGGGACAGTGCCCCTGTGACCCTACTGCTGACCTGCTGATGCCATCTGCATCACTGAGGGCAGTGCTGGAAAGAAAGAGAGCGAAGAAAAAAATGCAGAGAGCTTGTCCTTGTTTGGGCAGCAGAGCTGTTGTCTGTTACCCTGATCGGGACGATGCATGTCTGTGACCCTGATCGGGACGATGCAGAGAGCATGTCTGTGACCCTGATCGGGACGATGCATGTCTGTGACCCTGTTCGGGACGATGCAGAGAGCATGTCTGTGACCCTGATCGGGACGATGCAGAGAGCATGTCTGTGACTCTGATCGGGACGATGCATGTCTGTGACCCTGTTCGGGACGATGCAGAGAGCATGTCTGTGACCCTGATCGGGACGATGCAGAGACTATTAGGTAACCCCCCCCAAACACACATGTTTACTCTCACTACCCTAAGCCTGAAGCTCCACGTACCCAATTAGACACCGCAGCCAGGCAAACACACATCCTATTTATCCAGACCCCTGCCCCCTGGGCTGACCTTTAACAACACAGAGTCAGAATTTACTCTTGATCCCCATATCCCCCTGGAGGCCATGGAATTAATGAGAGCATGAGGTGGGGGGGAACGGAAATGAAGTCCTCACCTGAAATCGGAGCCTTTCCTCTTCCCTCGCTCTGGGATCCCTGGGTCTGGGCACATGTTGTGTCCCTGAGCGACACCCATCTGGGACACTTAAAGGAATAGGAACAGCCAGTTAGAGGGAGACAATGAGGGACACGGCAGCAGCTGGGTTCCCTTGGGGGGTGGCATGTGGCTCAGTTGGTTGGGACTCTGTACCCATGATCAGAAGGTTACTGGTTCAAATTCCTGGGCCAGCAGACTTACCCTTACCCCGCAGCTTCTGGGGCGCTGCACACTGGCTCACCTAGTGCTGTGAACCCCCCCCCCCCTCCCGAGTCTCCTCCCAAAAGTGTCTCATGGAAAGCAAGATGGGGTACGCAAAAAGAGAATTTTGCCACTTCTACTTTGCCCATGAGTGTCATGTACAGACTTTACACGGGGCATGTGCTCGATGCTTGAACAGGAGTCGGGGGTGTCCCCCTCAGGCGTTGGGGTATCCCCCTCGGTTATTGAAAAAGGGCATTTAGAACTTCAAAAGTGGGCACCCCCAGCCCCCGTCCTCTGCACGTTTCTGTGGTCCATAACAACACGATTAGAAAAAACACAATCCAGAAGCTGGCAATAAAAAACAAGGAAGTAAAAAAAATAATAAATAATAATGTCAGGCACAGTAACGGATGCAAAGCAATTACAGTAAACAGATCAGTCTGCATAGTAAATAGTCCATTAAATGGATCATGATGCTCAGATCCAGGGCCGTGACCCCATGCTGATTTACCAAATCCTCGGCAAGAGTTTCCATGCGGGGAGAGACAAGAAACTGTTTCCCACTCCACTCAACTACCCCAGCAGAGGCCCAGAAGGTCAGCAGAACCGGCGCCTGGGTAAGGCTGCAGTGGTGCCAAAGACTCAAAGTTGCCTAGAAACCCGATCTGACACATGTTGATTCTCAGGGGCTACTTGCATATATCTGCTCATGAATATTAACAAGCCGGGAAAGGGCATTTCTGTCAGCGGATGCTGGGGCTGGGGGGTAGGGAGGCTTACATAGCTTAATTTCTAACGGCCTCACCGGATACTCACTGTGAGCTGCTGACATTTTCTTACAATGATGTGAGGGTAATAGAAATGTAAATAACGAAGCTGCTTTAGATGAATAATGGAACTTTCCGCGAATATGATTCCGTGCGCCACCGCAGAAGGAGCCTGGAATGCAATTAACGCTCCACTCCGATCGCCTCGCCGCACGTTTCCCCGCAATAACATCCTAGCGCCTTGTCTGCAGCGCATGCGCTCTACGGCCGCCAAACTGCGGGGGTGCAGGGCCCTCGTTTTTAGCTGATGCCGAAAAGGAGCCCGATTAACATTCTGTTTACGCTGCCGTCTCAAGGTGCCACATGTTTAACACTTTGATTCATGCTCCGAGGACACGCTTTAAGTAAGCCGGCACAAAGGAAATGGGATCGATACAGAGTAAATCTCAGCACAGTCGCCGGGAATGCTAACGTGCATCCCGCCTCGCTCCGGCCTGGTGTGTGCCAGCAAGTTACACACGGACATCTTCTGGTGGGTGTCTCTGCTCTCAACACAGTGGCGGAAAAGCCAACGCCCGCCTCACCCTGCTCCGCCCGATGACTTACACACGGACATCTTCTGGTGGGTGCCTCTGCTCTCAGCAGTGGCCGAAATGTTGATGCCCCTTTCACCTCGCGCCCCCTCCACCCCAGTCACCTCGCGCCCCCTCCACCCCAGTCACCTCGCGCCCCCTCCACCCCAGTCACCTCGCCCCCTCTCCACCCCAGTCACCTCGCCCCCCCTCCACCCCAGTGACTTACACACGGATATTTTTTGGTGGTTGTCTTTGCTTGGCAGCATCTTCACACCTCGGGACTTCAGCTCTGTCATCTTCTTCACTGTAAATAACATTAATAATAATATTAATAATAGTATTAATAATAAAAATGTGTAAGTCATTGGTCCCTTGAGCAAGGTCCTTAACCCCGGGGACAGGATGACTCTGCTTTCTCATGCGTACATCGTTTTTGAAAAAAAAAAAGCCGTAAAATAAATATAAATGTAAGAAATGAAAAAAAGAAACATAAAGATTAATAAACAAACAAATAAATGCATGAACAGACAAACAAGCTTAAATAAATAAAGCTAATTCAGTTGACAGTGTTGTGATGATTAGCTTAAGTGATGAATTAGTACCTTTAGTGACTCAATAAAATTCTATAATGCTATATCTGGCAGGACAAGAGTAAATAAATGGATGAATGAATGGATGGATGGATGGCTGGATAGATGTTACCTGTACGTGTGTGTGTGTGTGTGTGTACAATACTGCACAAAAGTCTTAGGCAGTCAAAGGAGATGTTAAATTCTGGATAGTAAGTGTACATGTACTTGGAATAAAACCACAAGTTAGCATTAGAACTAAACACAAATTAAGAATAACAAGAAAAACGAACAAAACAAAAATGTATGCTTTTGTCCAAAAAGTTACTCATATCCCTGTTGAATGGCTGAGCACCACTTCAGTTCCCAAACCTCTCCGGCCCTGTCCATGTATCCCTTACATTTCACAAACAACTCACTTAATTATTTAATAGTTTAAATCTTTAATGAGGTATTGATTAGCCATACAAGGTGTGCTAGTGGTTAAGTCAGAAAAAGATGGTTGTGTTGGACACTTGCCACAAATGCTGGGGTGACGTTAGGAGAGGTTTTGAAATGGATATGTTGACACACTTTTACAGACATATCATGGTTTAATACCAACATGAAGATCATGTAAACATCATTTTCTTTTACTGCGTAAGACTTTTGAACAATACAAATTCCTGTTTTTCCACACTCCTTGGATGAAAAATAATCTAAAAAAAATGGGTTACCCAGTTTGGGTCAATATCTGCAAAACCATTTCTTATAGCGCCATGTCAGATCCGACATCCAGCTCAGGACTTCCTCTAGGTCCAGCCTAGCTCTCTGACGCTCCGCTTCACCTGAACACCTACCTCACCTGTCCCCACTTGGTCAGACACATGTATATGCTGTGTCTGCACCTTTGAACCTTCTCTGCATTGGCTGACTGCATGTTCACTGGCCTGTTCCCATGTACTGATCCTGGTTTTGATTTTCGTTTAGTGCCCTTTTCGCCTGCCTCTTTTCTGCCCACTTTCTCTTCATCAATGCCATCTTTGGATTCCGACTGGCCCGCCTGGTTTTCTAGATTTTGACTACGACTGCAGATCGTATCATTAAAGTTCCCTCGCACCGTTCCCGGATCCTGTCTCCTCATCATTAGCACATGAGCGCATCGAGGCAGCCTCTGTCGCACATGTCATCAAAGCGCGCGCAGATTACATCGCATTTCATTGCCTTACATTTACATGATATTCTTATTTGGACTGACATACCTTGCCACTATGTCACAATGCAATAAGCCATGGAAAGAAAGGCTGTCACATTAAATTATACACATGAATCATGTAATGTTGCACTGACACTCCGTCAAGTCCTCTTGCGTGATCCGTAGAACAACTATACTGTGTTTAAACAAAATTCTGGTTATTTGTTTAAAAATGAGTTCACTCTCAACTTCGATGAATATATCATTGACGTGAATAATATCTGCATTAATCTACCGTGAACCACATCCATCTTCGAGATCTATATGTAAGTATTCTGCTATGTATGATTAAGTATGTAATAAAAGTCACATTATGTGCCTGTCTTCAACTGAGAGAGTATTAAACAGCAAACAACACCAAACACAACTCGTAGGGACTGTTTTTGTTTTTTTTTTGTTTTGTCCCCTGGACAGTCTCTCCTTTGACTGGATTAATGCAGTCTGTGTTCTCTCTATAAGACCAAGGTCCTCCGTGTGGTGATATGGTAATAAAGCAGACTAGTCAGAGTCTTGAGATTCTCATTGTGAAGGAATCATTAAATGAGAAGGATCCTCATTGTAAAGGAGTCATTAAATGACCTAGTATGTCATGTACACTTTTTATTGGAAGGGGTGTATACATTGGATGAAAGAACTGAATGAACCTGTGAAATTTAAATCTCATCCGAGGGCCTGAAGCAAATCAAAGCCATTAGGGACAGACGTATCATGAATCAAATGTGCAAAATTAGACATCATTAATTCTATGGAGAATGGGTCTCCATTCCAAATTTCAATTCGATTAGGCTGCATAAAGTTGGTTCAAGTAAGAGGACGGAAATAAATGCTGTGCTGTGCAGTGAGCTGTTTGACCTGAGTCCACTCTGCAGTGTCCGGCTTGGTAAACGGCAATCCGTGCAATGTAACGACAAACAGCCAGCTGCTGGGCATCTGAGTGGTTTAACACGGCCGTTAGCGCTCGCTGTCATTAGCGATCGTTAGCGCCAGCAGAAGACGTTTATGTAGATAAATCCACCCACACCGGTCCTATGTGCTCCACGGGGCTGTTTAGCACCTTCTCGCATCAATTACGGCGGCAGACACCAATTTGCGTGTGTCATATTCCGGTTGTCTGTGAAATGGGAAATGTATGCCCAGTGTACGGTTTGACGCCTCAACCGTAGAGCCTGATGATGCCTTAGTGTGCGTGTGTGTGTTAGGAGATAATCCGATTAAGGTAAACCTGTGTACGATGCTGCTTTTAGAGATTCACACATGAGAAAAGCAGCATCTTTACTCTCATTCTCTTAGCTGGATGTGTGTGCCAACACAGCTGGACTGGCTGAGGTGTGCTAGCTAAATATATATCCACCTGTCCGTCTGCTTATCCGGCGTGGGTTCACTCTGAGGCCGGAGCCTATCTCAGGAAGCACAGGGCACGAGGCACCTCGGATGGCATGCTGGGTTATCACAGGGCACACGCTTGCACTCCAAGAGTAATTTAGAAACACCAATTTGCCTAACCACATGTTTCTGAACTGGAGTGCTTTGAGGAAACATCAATTTAAACACGGCGAGAGCTGTGTTGTAATTATTATTTTTTTATTATACTTTAGGTAGATACACACCACAGATGGGCAACAAATGAGGCAAGTTAAATCAGAACCAGCCAATCCAAGTCCACTACAGAAGTCCATATTCTGAATATTCCCGTTTGTAATGATCTGTCCCACTACATACGCTACCACAGGGCCACACAGAAGGCATCGGGACAGAGGAGTGGAAAACTAGAGCCAGATACAGTGGTACCTCGGAACTCGAACTTAATCCGTTCAGAACTCCGGATCGAATCCTAAAACGTCCGAGTTATGATCGAATTTTCCCCATAAGAAATAATGGAAAACTAATTATTTGGTTCCCGGCCCCAAAAAAATTACACCTAAATATGTTTCTCTTTAGCATTTAAACACAAAATGAACTGGATAAAACAAGAAGAGCATATACTGTACTAAACACATCTAACCACATTTATCAAAACAGTAATTTGTAAAGTAAGAAAACAAATGTATCCAAACAATGTGTCCTGCCTCGATCATCCGCTCCTTCCGTGTGCCACGCCTCCTCGTTAACCCCGTGTGGAATCCCCGTGTGATCAGCTGTTTCTGGTTGTTGTCATTAGTCCTCTGTATTTCCTCCGCGTTTCAGTTTGTTTCCCCAGTCCGGTCATTGTATTGTCCGTCTGCGTTTTGCCTGCCTTACCTGTAATTAAACCCCGTATTCCTCGATACTCTGACGTCTGCGCCTTTGTCTCTGTTCCGTCCCCGTGGGGGCACGACATTATTATTATAATTAAATGTTTTAATGGTTTATTATTAATATTAAAATAATGAATAAGAAATCTTTATGTTTTATATGCATTTTATTATATAATAATAATTACTGTTACTGTCTATCATTGTCTAAATGTATTTTTACTGTCTAAGTATATGTATTCAGCTAGTGTAAACATGCATGACGCTATCACAGTGAATGCGAGGCTGAGACTGAAGCGTTACCCTTTGTTTACGCTGAGAGATGTGCCGCGTGACTCATTTCCCCGCCTGTACAAGTTATCTTCGGTCGGCGTTCATGGTTTGACTTCTGAGATTCAGATCGAGCTCAAGGTAATTGGCTGGTTCGACTTTTAAGAAATTCGAGTTCTAATGAATTCGAGAAATGAGGTACCACTGTACATTTAAGAGTCAAGAAGTCCCTCTGCAGGAAGGGCCACCTGAAAATCTCATTATGAGCTTATTCATTTCACCCTTTTCCCGACGCAGTTAATGCGTCATTTATTTATCTAACACAAGCATCTGAAATCCAATTTTCATAATAATCGTCCTCATGCAGGTGCCGAGATTAATGTGGATTGGGATTAGATTTATCCAGTTAGGCTAGTCTCTCTCTTGTATCCTTCCTTCATATTCCCCCACCATTACACTGCTGAGTTTGGGTGGTTTCCAACAAAGACTTTCCTCTAAAGTGCTCGATATGAAATTAATATGCAGCTAAACAAATTGGTAGCAATGCCACTTGTGCTTAAAATGCATACAATTTCACGTTAAGCTTCTCCACTTTGATCCCGACTCCCCTGTTTTTCTCCGTAATTATGCATATCACATTCTGTCTCTGATGTAACACAGATGCGCCTGAAAGAGATGCATACTCCAACTGGGAAAACAGATTATAGATATATATAAAGTGTTAGACCCATCCATCCATGCATGTTCACTGGGACTGTTAACTGCACATGCTGTATTAATGTAAACAGATTTGCATGCATGCATTACAACAATCATAAGGAGAAATATGATCATTCTCCAATTTTCAGCAAGAAATATATTCCATTAAACACAAGTAGAGGATCCTGACAAATACGGCAGCAGTTAACAGACAAACTACACAAACAGACAAACAGTGTAGTCAAACAAACTAGATCGGTTTGGGGGTCAAGGGGGTAAGTGATCAGGCAGGCCTGCATGAAGCCACCACCCTGGCCACATGTTATTTATGCATGCAGATACCCATTGCCCTGTGATGACTGACAACACAGACTCATAGCAAGACGTGACAAGCTTGGGGAGGGGGGGGGGGAGTTCTGCATTATCTTTAGACTCTCCTCTGAGTGAGACTGTGACCAACCATTACAATGCACCTGTTGCATGTAGCCAATATTGCCCCACAAAGGCAAAGTGCAGTAACTACACTGACACTGAGAAAAAGAGCTTCAGAGTTTTTTTTTTTTTTTTTTAACTGTCCACCTGTGTGTGTAGTAGGTGGGTTAATGATAGTGTACTTATTCAAAACCAAGCATAGATAAAGTAAGATATCCTGTCATGAGGTAAAACAGAGTCTAAGAGACCCGATGTTGGTTATACCGCAGTCACTGTGTTTGCTTTTGCATTAAAGTGTAGGTGAATGAGAAGCAGTGGTCTGGCTGAGCTTGTGTGGGTGAATGAGAAGCGGCGTTCCGACTGAGCTCATGTGGGTTAATAAGGAGCGGTGCTCCAGCTGAGCTTGTGTGGGTGAATGAGGAGCGGCGGCCCGGCTGAGCTTGTGCAGGTGAATGAGGAGTGGTGCTCCAGCTGAGCTTGTGCGGGTGAATGAGGAGCGGTGCTCCAGCTGAGCTTGTGTGGGTGAATGAGAAGCGACGGCCCAGCTGAGCTTGTGCGGGTGAATGAGGAGCGGTGCTCCAACTGAGCTTGTGTGGGTGAATGAGAAGCGGCGTTCCGGCTGAGCTTGTGCGGGTGAATGAGGAGTGGCAGCCTGGCTGTGCTCGGGCAAGTGAATGAGAAGCAGAGCTTGTGCGAGAGAATGAGGAGAGGTGGACGATCTGAGCAGCACCTCACCTTGGTACTGGGCACTGAAGCCCCGCAGTCTGTGGTTGCCATCAGAGGTGAAGTGAAGCCGCAGCCAGTTCTTACTGCTGATGATGGGGGAAGGCAGATTGGGACCCGAGAACCTGGAACAGAGGGCAGGAGAGGCGTGAGGATATCAGCCTGAAGAGAGGCGCGTGTCCCTGAGCTAATCTACACTGGGGTGTCAGAAAAATCCATTCATTAACACGGGGGCATGCCCCTGGTCAGGATCAGGGATAGAATAATCAAATGCTTTTATTGATCAGACCCGTGGAAAACACCGTGGTAATTGCATTTATATTCTCCAAGTAAAAAGAGTCACCATGGAGCATTTGGAACGGCTATGGGCCTCCATCATTCAGAACCAATCACTTTTCAACATATGCACATGAAATGAAATTCTGAGGCTTCCTGTGTTGAACTGACTGTTAAGAGCAGATCAGAGGCCAATTGGTCCGAAGTACACTGATTGACTGGGGAAAAAATAAGAGTTTAAAGCAATGGTGGCCCCCAGAGACATCATGACATCATAAAAAAGCAGATCCCAATCCCATTACTGCCATTCAGGTGTGACTTTCAGAGCTATTTTAAGAATATTTTAATCCCAGAACCTGATTAGAATTCCACGCTTTAATCCTTGGATCAACAGTTGTCAACAAAAGTAATTTATATGGCTTCCACTATGGGATTATCTGACCTGGTGTTCTTATAACCAGAATAAAGCATCAAAATAACTTTAAACAGTTCAAGAAAAACATTCTCATTCTCAAGAACTGCACAAAATTCTAGTGACTAAAAAAAACTATAGTCATAAAAAATAGGAGTATTTGGTTTATTTTTCATAGACGTTCATCCACAGCAGCACACAGAGCTTACTGATTACCCATCTTCTCCACTGAGATTTCACAGAAGTAATTCAGGTCAAATGCATCCATTAAAGGTACAAGAGCAGCTCCCTGCGGCGACGGGTACCAGGAACCTATCGGTTTAACGTTGGCATGCTTAAGCGGCCTGCCTCCCGCTGGTGTGGCAGCCTCCGGACGATGGAGGTCAGCAGGCGGAGGGCAGATGGCCCTGCTAATCACCCAGCAGCCGCTCCCCGCCCGGTCTGCGGCCAGCTGCAGGTGCCCGACGCACCTCGGCCCTTCGGCCGGGGAAATCTGGCATGGGCTAATTATAGATGCATTACAGAATGCAGTGTGGTAATAAGTCGACCAAGGGTGGTCTGAAAAAATAAAAAACAAAGCTTTGAGGAAACGCTGAAGACGGAGCGCGTTGTGGGCCAGTGCAGGAAGCCCCCCCGCTCGCGTCATGTGCCACGCTCCCGCGACAGCTCCGCTATACCCAGCTTTTATGCTCTGCCTTCCTTTGGCGGTCGGCCGGTATTCCGGCTTTGGAAAAAGGGAAAGGGAAACAGGGCAGCGAGGGAGGCCTAATCGGGTTTACACTCCAGCTGTGGTGGGAGTGGTACCCGCCTCCGGCCTGCCCACCGACGACCGGCTTTCTGGGATACCTCTGATGGAGGTTCAAAACTCTGATGGCGAATGAGAAAAGCACAAGGGGATATTCCAAAAAATGACCCAAACAGGCTGGAACGTAAACGGTAAAAGCACCCTGTGTCACCCTGTGACTTTCGACGGTGCTACAATAAGTGCATCATAAGCACACTCGTTAGTGGCTGATTATAAAAGCTCCATTATGTAGACCGTGATTGCTTTGACAATGGCTTTAAAAGGTGATGATACACTGGGTACAGGATTCAAAATGTCAACAAGGTACAGAAAAGGCTACCTTGACAAATCTTTGGTATGATACTGCTGTAATATACTCTGTTGGAGGTTCAGTGCTTCCTACACTAATCCATTTTCCATTAGTGCCGATCCAGTATGGGATCACAGTGAACCTGGAACAATGCACAGTGTACGAGGAACCTTAGATGGGGTGCCACACACACACAGTCACACACTGCGGGCAGTGCAGAGACACCCGTCCTCCTGGAGCAACCCACACAGACACATGTAGAGCATATAAACTCCGCACATGGAGATTTAGGGGTGGGAATCAAACTCACACACTACAGGTGTAAGGTGACAGGGCTACCGAGTGAGTCCCCATGTCACAGGAAATTTACCGCAGCTACTCATGCGCTTGTGACGATGACCTGCGCCTAATGTTTAAGGCACTTATTCCACCGCTCACATGCCCAGTCTTCTGAGCTCTCCTTGAACAAAACTCCCGTAACCATCTGGAAAATAAATAAATTTAAACATAAACATTTATACGGCGCTATTAATTACACAACGCGGTGAGGAAGCAGATGGCACATGCAGGGAGGCCCTCTGACATTGAAGGGGTGTGCCGAAAGTAAACGGGCGGGACGTGGGGTGAGAGAGGCTGCTCCCGTCGTACGTGCCGCCCTCCGCCCCGGAGCGTCATGGCAACCGTCGCCAACTCGGGCAGGCCTAAACTGACAGATGTGGTGCGAGACCTCCACCATCCGCCGAGCTGAACCTTCCATCACCACCCTGTTATGCAAGAGATGGGTGCTTGGGTACGCTCAGTAGCCCCCAGTGAGGAATGGATCTCCCTTTTAATTCTGCGGCCTGTGTGTGTGTGTGTGTGTGTGTTTGAGGGTGGTGGATGGGGTTTGTAGTTATTGGACAGTTAGTATTCTGTTTCGCCACCCCCAACCTTCTTCTGGTGAATCCATCCTCTACATATCTTACCCTTAGAGGGATGCTGGGCAATTTTAATCAGGATTCAGCTCAGGCACGAGTGAAAAAATAAGGGACAAGGATAAGGGAGGGGGTGTGGTCTGTGTGTACTCAAATCCCGCCCCCAAGACAGACCCATCTGTCACAATGGTTGGATAGTTAAGAAAATGAACTTGCAACTAAGATGTTTCTGTTTAAAGTCCCAGGAGGAGAACTACTGATGTACCATTTAGTTAATGGCTAAAGGGTAGCAAATAAATCAGCATGAAATGCATCCGCGCATTCATTTGTGGCCTGACCAATGTGGCAGGGGGCACGTGGATGCCAGTCCATGGTAGCATTTACACAAGCACCTAAAGAGCACATTTACAAAACACACTCAGTCTATTGGAAAAAAAGTTGAGAAAATATCTGAGGACATAGTGACTTTTGGAAACATAACACATGTTCTTCTTTGCATTACATGCGGACTGAGCGATGAGGATGCCTGACTTTAGGTCATGGTCAGTCTCATCTCAAACACATGGAAAAATGGACTGAGTGAGTTTTAGAAAGTGCTCTTCAATTACAGATGTCAATCCATCTCGACCAGAAGCATTTAGGTCATGGGAGGAGACTGATGTAGCCGGAGATAATTGAACACAAATGAAAGGAGAAAATACAGACTCCCCAAACAGATAGTCAAGGGACCACCCACTATGTAAAAAAAATATATATATATTTTAATTAAAAAGTACAGAAGTGCACACCTCTCCAAAAACGAAAGTGCAGCCAAAATGCATGATCCTCCATATAGGGCTCATTCTCCCTCCTGAAGCACTGGGCCGTAACTCAGCAGCTGTAGCCACACAGCACTACCTGGGCATCTTCTCTGGGCAGCGTAGCAAAGGTTACATGGCCAGGAAAAACCACCCAGGAGGAGGCAAAGCCAGCTTGGACCGCTCACCTCCTCTAAGCAAAAGACTTCTTAACATAAGAGGGATTCCGTTTAAAGCCTGGATTTCACGCTGGTGATGCAACACTACGGCACTCCATAGACAGGTCCCTGTCTGGCTCGATGAGGATGGAGGACGTCGGGGGATCTCTGCTGCCTGCCTTGCTGCCACCCCAGGTCATCTTTGGTGCCGGCAAATTCATGCTCGCCCTCGGTGAGATGCACTGCTGTTTCAAGTGGCCCCACCATGTGACAGAAATAGCCACCAGCTGACAGTGAGATATACTGCTCCTCCCTGAACCCACCTCCCTCGCCCCAAGCCTCCTGTCAGCCACGGTGTGATGCGTGTCATTAAAGACAACTGCACTGGTACAGAGGAAATGGGAAGAAATGCCAAGAAAAAGATTGTTTCTTAAGTAGCGAGAAACATCTCCGTGTGAGATTGTATCTGGATGTACCTCGGCAAACACGCAATAATGACGGCTCACTGATAAAATTATGAATTAGCAAATTCAAATGGCTGAACACCTGAGCTACAAATGATGAACAGAAAAGCAGGAGCGTGGGTAGGGGCATATGCAGGGGCAGGGGTAGGGGTGTGCCACAGGGGCAGGGGTAGAGGCATATGCAGGGGCAGGGGTAGGGGTGTGCCACAGGGGCAGGGGTAGAGGCATATGCAGGGGCAGGGGTAGGGGTGTGCCACAAGGGCACTGCACCCAGCTGAAATCTGATTGGCTCCCTGAGTGTCCCCTTCCCCGTAACTCAACAATTCAAATCATATAACTGGCTAATTATATGATTGCCCCCCCCCCGTGTGAATCATTGCCTTTCTTAAGCTTCAAACCTAAAAAAAAAAAAAAGAATAGAATTGCCCCTGAAGGGGGCAGATTGACAGGGCAGCAAGGCGAAAAGGGCTTTCACAGAAACACAGTCTGCCAATGTTATTCGGTTGGTTAAATTAAGGGTTAACTGTCTCCTGAAATACAGCAGGGAAAAAAAAAAAAAAACGGATGCAGAGGTGCTGGGAGCAAGATTAATGTTTTCGAGAAGATCACTCTTCTTCACATTTACCATGTAAGTTTTTCCTCCTGTACAGCTAAGGACTCACTCTGTGCCGTGTTAAAACTACAGAGGTGTTACTATTATTATTATTTACTTGCTGAACTGACGCTTTTGTCTGGCCAAACCGGCGCAGGTTCTAGTTTTGTACAATTACCCAGCCAGATGTTTCAGTGATGTGAGAAGGGTTAAGCGGTCTGGCCCAAGGTAACTCAGCGGTACTCCGCCTGGCACTGAAATCTGGAAGTGCACGTTAACGACTGCGCTGCTTTGCAAACTGGCACCGTTTCTCGGCAGACTGTGGTTTCCACGGCCCTTTCATGGTCTTTATCTCCCACATGCGACGCATCACATTCAAACATCAGAACGGCATGTAAAATGAAACATTCACGTTTGC